CCAGGAGCCGTCCACCAAATATTCGATCTCATCTGCATCTTCACATTCCTTTAAGATCTTCGACAGGAGCCTACAAGGGGACGGAGAACCCAGCTGGTGATTTCAGACTCCGGAAACTCCAGGGCCGTGTTCTACCTTCCCGGGAATGGCTTCCATCTCAGAGGGGGTTTCAGGAAATGGTCAGGACCATACCTGAAGGCAGAGAGATCACCAAACCCCAGGCTCACCAGATACCAGGGCATCCGATTGCCGCTCCAACCAAAAACCAGGAGCCAACTTCATTTGAATCAGCCATTACAATTTAAAATTCCTGCAGCGGAATACTAAAGATCGTGGAGAACGTCAAGGGACAGATCATCCAGGTTTTGTGAGATGTGGCAATTCTCTAGGGCACCGGTCCCCGACCTTTCTGGCTCCAGAGACCGGTTTTGGAAGAAAAATGTTCTTCTGTGGACCGGGGGGAAGGAGAACGGTTTTCCGTGCGCAACCTAGCTCCTGTGCATGCGTAGATGAAGCTTCATTCACTCCATCCACAGCTTGCATGGACCAATTCCTAACAGGCTACAGACTAGTACCAGTCCACAGACTGGAGGTTGAGGACCCCTGCTCTAGGTGGGCTTTTTTTGGAAGTGAAAGGACTTTGAACGACTCTATTACACCATTTAGCATCCTAAAAAGCAGAGACATCACCCTGCCAACAAAAGTGTGTATAGTCAAGGCCATGGTTTTCCCAGTTGCAATGTATGGCTGTGAAAGTTGGACCATAAGAAAGGCTGAGCACCAAAGAATGGAGGCCTTTGAACTCTGGTGCTGGAGAAGACTCCTGCGAGTCCCTTGGACTGCAAGGCGTTCAATCTGGTCAGTCCTAGAGGAGATCAACCCCGACTGCTCTTTAGAAGGCCAGATCCTGAAGTTGAAACTCAAGTCCTTTGGCCACCTAATGAGAAGGAAGGACTCACTGGAGAAGAGCCTAATGCTGGGAATGATGGAGGGCAAGAGAAGAAGGGGACGAGAGAAGGAGGTGGCTGGATGGAGTCACTGAAGCAGGAGGTGTGAGCTTAAATGGACTCCAGAAGATGGTAGAGGACAGGAAGGCCTGGAGGAACATGGTCCATGGGGTCGCGATGGATCGGACACAACTTCGCGATTAACAACAATTACACCATTTATGAAGATTTTGTCTCCTCGCAAATGAGGTGATCCTAAAGTGGGTTGGGAAGACACATGGCTTGCTGTGTTAATGTTCTTGAGGGTTCCTGGGCTGTTGTTGGCGGTTTAATGTCTTGAGTTGGTAGTTATCAATTCCTGGTAAACCATACCCCAAGCAAGAATCTACCAACTCAGACAAAACAGCAAACAACAGCCTAATCATGAAACGACCAATAACACAGTGACAGGGCCACCACTTGTATATAATAGAGAGTAAACCCCCCCCCCCTTCCTTCTAGCACTGATAATGTTACCTAGTTGGGTCATGAAACATCTGCCAGAAAACCACCAAGCTCAGAGAGCACCAAAGACCCCATAGTCATTCTCCTACCCCTCCTCAACCCCCCTTCACAGAAAACAATTAAGCTCAGAGAGCACCAAGGACCCCATAGTCCTCCTCCTCCTCCTCCACAAATCCCATTCCCTTCTAGGACTGATGATGTTACCTAGCTGGGTCATGAAACGTCTGCCAGAAACCCACCCAGCTCAGAGAGCAACAGGGACCTCCATGTTTCTGGGCTCTCCGGGGATTCCTGTAAAGGGGTGACCTGCTTTGTGCTGACAAGTAACTGACTCAACTAACCCATCGATCATCAGCTGATCATACGTGGCTGGTTTGTCACACACCGGACACATCCAGGTGGGTTTCTTCTCGTTCATCTGCAGGTAGAAAACCGCATCGAAGCACTGCAGGTGGGCACACGTTTCCGCCCGACACGGGACCGACAGGCGCATCTTTACCAGCTTCAGAAGAGGGGGGAAAAAAAACCCCACATGAGAGGCACAGGCAAAAAAAAAATGGATCTAGAATAGATCCTGATCAAATACAGAACCACAGAGTTCGGAGGGACCTTCAAGGTCTTCCAGTCCAAACCCTTGCTCAGGCAGGAGACCCTGGACCAGAGTTCCCCAACGTTTCCAGCTTTGCAGACTGGTGGGGGAGGGGCCCATGGGTTGGGGAGCCCTGCCCTATACCATTCTGGACAAGTGGCTGTCCAGTCTCTTCTTAAAAACCTCCAGTGCTGGAGCACCCACAATATCTGAAGGCAAGCTGTTCCACTGGTTGGTGGGTGGGTGGTGGGAGGGAGAGTGTTTAAATTGGAGGGAGGGATGGATGGATGGATGGGTGAATGGAGAGCTGGTTGGTTGGTTGGTTGGTTGGAGGGAGGGAGGGATGGAGAGTTGGTTGGTTGGTTAGTTGGTTAGTTGATTGGTTGGTTGGAGGGAGGGAGGAAGGGATGGATGGGTGGGTGGAGCGTTGTTTGGCTGGTTGGAGGGAGGGAGGGAGGGATGGATAGATGGATGGATGGAGAGTTGGTTGTTTGGTTGGTTGGAGGGAAGGAGGGTGGATGGATGGATGGAAGGGTGGAGAATTGGTTGGAGGAAGGGAAGAATGGATAGATAGATAGATGGATAGACGGAGAGTTGGTTGGTTGGTTGGTTGGTTGGAGGGAGGGAGGAATGGATGGATGGATAGATGGATGCAGTTGGTTGGAGGGAGGGATGGATAGATGGATGGATGGAGAATTGGTTGGTTGGTTGGTTGGAGGAATGGATAGATAGATGGATGGAGAGTTGGTTGGAGGGAGGGAGGGAGGAAGGGATGGATAGATGGAGAGTTGGTTGGTTGGTTGGAGGGAGGAAGAGATGATAGATGGATGGAGAGTTGGTTGGAGGGAGGGAGGAATGGATGGACAGAAGGATGGATAGTTGGTTAGTTGGAGGGAGGGAGGGATGGA